CCCTCCTCGTCCCATGTGTCTCCTCCTCGTCCCCTCCTCGTCCCCTCTTCATCCCCTCTTCGTCCCCTCCTCGTCCCCTCTTCGTCCCCTCCTCGTCCCCTCCTCGTCCCCTCTTCATCCCCTCCTCGTCCCCTCCTCGTCCCCTGTCTCACGGTCCGGTTGTTGTAGCTGAAGTATTTTGTTAAATGTTTTAAATCAAGTTAAAGATCAGGACGTCTTCCTGCTGCCACTGGGTCAGAATGACACTAAAGGGTTAAAACAGAGTGATGGGACAGCAGGGACAGCAGGGACAGCAGGGACAGCAGGACGGTTAAAGTCTGTCTCCAGGAGTTGACGACAAGCTTTAGGTCACGTGTTGTAGCTGTTTTTGAGCTTATTGGCTGATGAATAAGCTTCAGCTTTAATAAACGTTCACACGTGCTGTTTTGTTTTCCTGCTAGTTTTAACAGAAAAACATCAAATTAAATCACTTCTTTAAATTGTTCTTCAGATCGGGCTTTTATTTTTGTAAAAATGTGACGTGGTTCTGTTCTGTGTTTCTTGCTGCATCAAAGGAAGGACACGCTGGAGGCCATGGTGAGGTAGGTCGCTGCGGGACTGAAACCCTAAACTTTGAGTACCCCCCCTCGTTCTGTTGACTCACAGAAACAGTCGTGATTTACAACGGGGCTTTTATTTTTAGGAAACCTTTTATTAGAGTTTAAATAAATAAATTTATAAATGTCCAGTGCTCAAGACCTGAACCTGGTTCATGGATTTAATCCTCAATGAGTTTCTGCAGCACGTGAAACACCTGAATGTCCCCCTGAGGGACAATCAAGTCCTTTCTATTCTGTTCTGAATGATGTCAACGAAGGGGCGGAGTCAATTAAAGAGTTTGTAACATTTTGTTGGATCAGCGGGAAGAAATATTCAATCGTTGCTGTGAGGAAGACGTGGACCACGTCCAGAACCTGCAACAGAGGGTGTGTGTGTGTGTGTGTGTGTGTGTGTGTGTGTGTGTGTGTGTGTG